GACATCCGCTAAATACCGTATCCGGAGCCCCTTGCCAGCGAACCTTGGGCCGCTCTGACATCCACCAGGAACCCATCCGGATGGACCACCTGCCACCCATGGGCCGTCCTGACATTCACCAGGTACCCTGGCCGGTGGGTGTTACCTCTTGGGGCATGGCCGCTTCGACCTGGTGGTGGTTGGCATACCCATGCGCATACCAGGGGCAGCTCCCCCCCAGGCCAGAGTGCCGGCCGCCTCGACACAGGCCTGTAGGAGGTCACCTACCAGGCTACCCAGCTGGTGGGTGAAGCGGCCGGCAGGACGAGGTCGGCTGACCGCCGGTCACCGCTGCCCCGACATCCTCGGGTGTTTGACCCATCCGCTGACCGGACATCCTCGGGGGTCATGTCCTGCACCATGTGCCAAAAGGACGTAAGATAGGTCCCATCAAGCTCATCGAAAAGGGCCCTGGGCTCACCGCAGTGGTGGACGTCCTGCAAGAAGCTATGCTGAAGAGCATTACTCCGGAGTCAGCGCAAATTTCGGCCATGATGTTGAAGTGGGTTGATGACCTGGCGGAGGCGGCAAAGGATCAGGGTTCAACAGTGAGTAGTATTCAGAAACAGCCGCATTGGCCGACTTAACAAGTGGGAGTAACCTAGGCTTTCTCGGAGAGCTTCACTAGCAGCACCACTGGTGGCGGCAACAGTCAAGCCGCTTTGCCCATCGTGACTCCCGGGTCTGTTCCTGCAGCCACCAAACCTGGAAAGTCGGTCTTGTGGCGATACCAGGATGTTGAGGAGAAAAAAGAGAAGAAAGGAGGGGGACAGGACACCGATCCAGATGTCTTGACAGCCTCTGTGCCCACATACCTCGTATCAGAGCTTGCCCAAGGTGTACAGAAGCTTATCTATCGCTGTGCAGGAGCCGGCAAGGGCTGTGAGGGGAATTGGACCAATCGACCTCGTGGACGAATCTTCAAACATGTTAACAAGTGCGAGTTCCTCCCTGACGACCTGAAAGAACGAGTTGCACAGAAGATGCAGGCTGAGTCGCCTGGACAGCGGGTGGCAAAGAGAGACGCAGAGCAGGCAGAGTTGCAGAAGCAGGCCAAACGTCCCAAGGGAGCCAGTGACATCGGTGCCGGTGAAACCAGCCCTGCATTGGCAGGTGGGCAGGACAACGCAGTGACGCGCAATGCAGAGCCCAAGTCTCTAGGGCTGATGGCGAAGATATCACGTGAGGCTTACCGTACAGACCTCAAGGATCGGCTAGACTTTGCTGTACTCCGGTTCTTGTGTGCTGCGGGCATGCCACCGACAGTTGTGGATGCCCCAGAGTGGAAGGAGTTGCTGAAGATTGCAAACCCTCAGTACAGTCCTGTTTCGTCCACTACTATCGCCGACTACCAAATCCCGCAAGAAGCATCAAACATCTACCTCATGCAACGCGAATATCTGCGCAGTTGCTCCGATTTGACGGTATCCTTCGACGGCAACACGACACGTTTACCCCAGTCCGTTTACACTGTCCACGTTACCACCCCTCGTGGCCTTGTCTTCTTTGTTGAAGGAGACGAGGCGTCAAAGCGTTCACACACTGGTGCGCACATATTTGGTGTCTTAAACAAGGTTCTACTCTCTATTGGCCCAGAGCGATTTCGTGGAATATCCTCTGACTCGACAGGCAACACCTCTGTTGCGCGGAAGCTTGTGAAGAACCAGTACCCATGGATTATCATCTTGCCTGACCCCTGCCATCGTGCAAATCTTCTTGCTGGGGATATTTGTCGCCTACCCTTTTTTGCACCGGTATATACTCTATATCTGTTGCATGCATTATGATAGCTGACTATTGCACTAGGTCATTCGAAAGGTTCAGCGGACCCTTAAGTTCTTCAAAAAGTCGACGCATGCGACCAGTCATCTCAAGGCTGCTCGTAAGGAGCAAGGTATAGGCCGTGGTCTGGTCTCTGTTGGTAAAACTCGGTTTGTGATGCTGTACCATGCGGGGAGGTCTGTACAGCGCTGTTATCCAGCAATCGAGTCAATAGTCACAAAGAAGACGGTAACACTACCGGTATGTCTTAAAGTGAATGACTGGCACTGTGTTAATTATTGTTCCCAGACGGACTGCAATTCCTGTTTTGTTAAGGGTCGACTCCCTGCTGCCGAGTTTAGAAGTGAGCTTGCTTGCTTGGTTGCGGTACTTGCCCCAATTGCGAAGGCAACGACGTGTCTTGAGGCCACCAACATCGACGTCTCAAGTGTCTATGAGTTTTGGCTAGCCATTACCGCCTCGATGAAAGACATCCTCACGACAGAAAATGAGGATTTCGAAATACCTGCTCATGCTTCTGAACAGATCCGCCGCCGCGTCAATTACAGATTTAATCAAATGGTAAATGAAACCCCAGATGATGTCTACTTGACAGGTTTTGTGCTGAACCCGCGTAAGTGCTTGTCATTTCCATTAATATGTCCTGACATTTGGGCTAGATTATCGTGGTTCTGGCATCCTGAAGGATCTCAACCCCCTCGAAATCCAACGCATCAAGATTAATGTTGTCGATTGTACTGCCGGGCCGGTCAAGGATCAAGAGCTGCCGCAGTCTCTCCGACGCGTTGGGGGATATATACTCCGCATCCTACGGACTGAGTATGAGAAAAGGGGAACAAAGATTGGCGGGCTCAGTGTAGTTGAGGCAAACAGGAGAGTGAAAAATCAGCTCCGGATGTACGTTGTGGCTTCGTATCCCTTTGATCGTCCTGTCGTTTCAGACGATACCCCGTTGTCGTGGTGGGCAAAGCTCGACAAGGATCCTAGCAATATTGCTCAGCCTCTCGCCGTGAGTTTCATCATATTTGCTGTACATTTACACCTCTGAGATAATCATAACAGGCACTCTGCGTGCACATCTACTCTGTGAAGCCAAACTCTATGGCTGACGAGCGCACGGCATCTGTGTACTCTTGGTTGAATTCGGCTCGTCGCAACCGTCAGGAGGCCGCAACACTCACGTGCATGGTCACGGTTCGTGGCTGGTACAAAAACAACCCAAAGGTACTAGTTCTCACTGTTTCTCTGGCACGCAGTGGCATAGACTGACTCCATGTTTTCTTCTAGACTCACAAGCCGAAGCCACGACCGGTAGTCAAATGGCGTGACCTCAAGAAAATGGTGAACTCGGGCGGAGCGAAACCAGCAAAAATAAATGAGAAGCAGCGTCAGGATGTCATTGACTTGACGGAAGATGACACAGCGCAGTCCGGTTCTCGCAACATCACAGACGACTTCGCAGACGACCGCGGCAGCGAAATCGAGTCAGATTCAGACGACGACATTCCGGCACAAGGAAGTGGTACTTATGGGTCGCTTCCTTCAACCATCGATAACAACCCCTTCCCCCTCGCTGGAGAGGAGCAAGCTGACGACGGAGAGATTGAGAAGTTTTCGGGAGAGACATTTGATCTCGACAATATGGTTGACCTTTCATCACCTATCCTGCTTGACCTTCTTTCACACGAAACCTTAGTTCATCCAACCCCTGCCGGTAGCACTGCAGCTCGTGTATCAGAAGCGGAGTCTGATGCTGCCGAAGAGAGTCTCGACGAGTCTGCTTGGGAAATGGAGTAGTACTATTAGCTAGTCGAAAAATACTACAATAATTATTTACCCCTATCTATAGGTTAGTGACCCGGTCAATGACCTGGCAAGGTCACCAACGTCAGTGACCTTGGTCAGCGTCCTAGCTGCGGAGACGTTCACCGTACACTATCGCGGACACTCATGCTGCAGCCTCCACAACTTCAGTCCTGCCTCGTTGGCCAGAACGCAATATATGAAGCCGGTAATAGAGTATAGTACGTAGTAAGCTGAAAAGAGCTACCTCCTTGCTTCATACTCAGACACGTATCGTGGCAGGCTTATCGCTCCCTCTTGGAAAGGGTGAAACGCCGGTCGAGTAATACGAGTATGCATGGTGACTTCCAGGAAGCAAGCAGACACAGTACGTCTCTGATTCTCTCCCTCGTTGTAAGTTTTCTGATCCATGAACTCTTGACACACAGATGGAAGAAGGTAAACGTGGTCGGCCCGCTCGCAAGCTTTAGGGCGGGGCGGATAGGAGGTCAGGCCGGACTTGATGAAGCATTGGCAGGGTGTGAAGACGCTGTGGATGCTGAGGCTTACACTACAAGCGGTGCGCTGTATCGCCTACTTTCGAAGGTGAATGGTGCAACATCGCCGGTCCCTCATTACACCACGCATCCGGACACCGCATCCTCGCCTCCTCACACTGTGTTGGACCTCTGCATATCCAATGCAATCATTTACCGCCCTTGCACCCCCAATGCAACATGACACCCTCAATGCAACAGGGTGAAATTGTTCCTTGTGCCATGGCTCCGATGCTCACGCATATCTCCCGCAAACTTAATGAGCATATATATGAGGGTCTTCTGCTAGTGTACATGTCTTTGAATAATATAGCGTAAAAGCTTGAGCTTGCCAGAGGGATGCCGGAATCGTGACTCCTCTCTCCAGCTTCTCTCACTGTAGCACTGATGACGGTCACCGTTTGCGCTAGAGACGGCAATGGCCTACAGAAACTTATACTACGATAAAGTAACGCCATAGGAATATCAATATGAGATTTTGAAGCAGTTGGTCAAGTTTAAGATAGGTGCCCTGAGTGATGATCTCTCAACAACGCCAAAACTTGGGTGGTTTCGAGCACAGATCATTAAGTTCTAATATTCACGCTACAGCTTTTTGTAGGCAAGCAGAATACATCTATGCAAGCTTACAGACCAAATTTTGATACATTTTGCCAAGGATCAGGTCAGGGAGAGCACATTTAGTGGATGTTGCATTGAGGGTGTCGTGTTGCATTGGGGGTGCAAGAGCGGTAGTGTATCCAATGAGGGAATTAGGCTACTACGACGTACACTGACCACGATCTGTTCGACGTATCCCGTGTTCGTCCCTTACGAACCCGTCATCATCGCTCCACCAACGGGCTTACAGAGCGGTCCGGCCTTGATGAAAATGCTGAAATGGAGAGGGACACGAGCATTAACATCATCCCGTTCACGGAACCGCTTGGACGTCGAAGATTAGGTATGTCGCTCCCAAGATAGTTCCCGCTCACTTGCATAACATTCAGGATAGGAATAGCGGCCACTTCCCGTGCTATTCAATATTTAAAGATATGCGTTTCTGCTTGCAGAATCCATACACAGCATCCATCATATCCGGGTACGGGTTTCATCTCGTCATCTGCCCTGGAACTCACGGGCAAGTCATAGTTTCGGTGCGGCTCGGCGGAAAAGTTGACACCCCGGGTATGTTGCCTTCCCTTTCGATTGTTTCTCAGAACGAAGGCTTGAAACCAGCCACAAGACTGTCTTGACGAAACTGGCGGACAGTCCGCTAGCCCTTGCATGACCGTGGTCATTATTGCTCATATGATCGTACCGAACGGGGTATCGGTATGAGACAGCAAAAGACACGGAGACTCGTTGGGTACACACTACGGAGGTTGGTATTGTCATGTCTTGGTGCGTGCTTTTCCGCTTGCCTTGCGCATCCGTAGTATCGAAAGTTCATGATATTAGTGTTTGTATCCACAGGACGACAAAGTCTATGCCATGTGTAAGTTGAGGGCATTACGTCGGGTCTCGCTTAGAATGTTTACGTATACTATATCCACTCTCACATCAACTAATCCCGCAGGAGTGCCGGTCAGCCATGCGAGCTCCCGCATGTCTGGTGCTGATGGGTTGGCTGACAATGCGTTGACCCGGAGCCGTGGCAGCCACCCTGTGATAAGCAGTAAACACTAGCGGTGTGCGTCTAGGCTCACAGCTGGACGTACGGCGTCCGTATGACTGCCCTACGTTCTTGGAAGCGAACAAGCAGACCAGTCACCAGTAGACATTCGCGTTTAAAATAAACAAGCACCTGCATGTGAGATGGCAGGGCGCAGCAGCGCCGCTTCCCTTTGCGATAGTGGATTACTTGATGGTCGAGCATTTCTCGTGATTCTACCCCAGCGATTTAATTGGTTGTTCTTTTAAGCACTATGAGGTTTACTTTCAGTCAACCTCTGAAGATCCGATCGAATTATGAATGCCTGAGTTCGGACGAACAGGCGCTCGGACAAGCGCCCCTAGCCCGGAATATGCATGCGGTGCCTCCAGCGTCAATCGCAGCCTCGAGGCATTGTGCGTGTGTTGTCCGAGGCGACACACGTTTCTCACCGACCGCCACCGTGAGTCTCCTTTGCTGTCCAACAACAGTCACTCACCCCGCCGTATTGCACAAACAGTGTCATAGAAATGCCCTCCTCAGACACATGTTCGGACTCTGAGGGCAGTACACACACTCCCAAACCTTTTGAAGGGCATACCGACACTGTCCATGCTGTCGCTTACTCTCCTGATGGTACCAAAATTGCCTCGGGCTCCTACGATAACACAATACGGATCTGGGACTCGCACACCGGCATGCAGATCGGAAACCCTCTGGAAGGTCACTATAGAGAAGTCTACGCAGTCGCATTCTCTCCCGATGGACGAAGACTAGCAAGCGGCTCTGGTGACAACTCAGTTCGTATATGGGATACCTTAGTCACGGTTTTGGGTCCACTAAAAGAACACGCCAAAAGCGTATGGTGGGTCGAGTACTCTCCAAGTGGACAATTCATTGCCAGTGCGTCCTTAGATAGGTTCGTGCGGATCTGGGACGCAAACTCTGGAGAGTGCGTACACACTTTAGAGCATCCTGCCGGAGTGAACGAGGCAATATTATCTCCCAGCGGCCATCATATTACATCAGCCTGTGACGACAAAATGATACGAGTATGGAATGTGGCTTCGCAAGCGCTTATCTTCCCCCCTCTTGCAGCACACAAGTCAGAGGTATGGGCAGTATCATATTCCCCAGACGGACGTTTGTTAGCGAGCGGAAGCCAGGACTGCACAATCTTTGTGTGGGACGCTGAGACAGGAAAAATACGCAAAGGGCCGCTGAAGGGACACAAGCTTGCGGTCTCCGATCTCGCATTCACGTCCGACAGACAGATGCTTATCAGCGTTTCAAACGACAGAAGCGTACGCGCCTGGGATCCAGTGGCAGGCGATTGCCTGTGGGGCCCGATGTTCAGCGCCGAGTACGTCGGCAGAATATCAACCTCTTCTACGGAGCCAAGGTTCGTTTGTAGTAGAGGTTCCAGTATGTGTATACGAGACCTCGGTACGGGGAAGCTTATTCTTCCTGAGGTGGGTAATCAAAATTCTTTTTCAGGATGTCAATGAACTCTCACTGCAGGCAAATGCGCTAATTCTGGACCCGAAAATAAGCTGGAAAATGAGCTGGAAAGTAAACATTTTCCCACTCTCCTACCCAGACGGACGGTCGAGTGTCGCACTAATCCCAGTCACTAGTACTATTATTAATTCTAATTACTATATAAGGTTTAATCTCCGACCCGATCACGAAAACTTTTGAGTGACGACTACACGACCGACCCTCTGGGGGAAATTGCAGGGGCCGGAATGCTCGGCAGGCTCCGGCTATGTCCAAATTGTGCACTCCGAGCTGGCTGCTTGGCCGCTGATACAACAATGCTGTGTACTTCACGGACGAACACATGTGAATAATCGAAGTTAGAGAACAAAAACGAAGGAGGAAGTGCGAGGACTCATCAACAAAAGACATAACTGCTGGAAGACTTGGTTATGTCGGCCGGCTCAGGATCCCTTATATAGATATAGCCGGAGCTTGCCGAGCATTCCGGCCCCTGCAATTTCCCCCAGAGGGTCGGTCGTGTAGTCGTCACTCAAAAGTTTTCGTGATCGGGTCGGAGATTAAACCTTATATAGTAATTAGAATTAATAATAGTACTAGTGACTGGGATTAGTGCGACACTACACGACCGTCCGTCTGGGTAGGAGAGTGACATTTTCCGCGATATTTCCCTTTGAACAATAGAGGCTGAGAAAGTTTCATATTCCAATGACTTTTCGGGAGACAAAAATCGGCTCACCTTCCATTTATAGAAGGTAACGCGTAGCGGAGGTTCAATTCTTGCTTCAACCTGCCTTTTTGGGCCTCTTGGCACGCCAGAAAATGATAACTTTCCGCGTGTTGTTCCTCGCCCGAAACTCTGTCGGAAGATGATGACTTTCCAGGTCATTTTCCTGCTTATTTTCGGGCCCGGAATTAGCTCATTTGCCTGTAGTGTCTTTATGCTCAGGGCACCGATTCAAAGCCAAGGAAAGGATTGTGGGCATAATATACCCTCCTTAAGCGAGATGAACCCCTAATATTCATCATTTATACGCAGAATCATTACACCCTGGTGGGCCACGTCTTTGGCATGGCTTCCCGATGGCGAACACTTCGCAAGCGAAGGGAGTGGGTTTACTATCAAAATATGGAATGCGATCACAGGAAAAGAAAAAAAAGATATATGTGCCCATCACACTAACTATATTCTCTCCATCGACATCTCTCCTGACGGCTCGAAGATAGTTAGCGGCTCTCGAGATCAGACTGTTTGTCTATGGGACGTTGCAACCAAAAAACTTGCCATGGATCTCATCAAGGGTCACACTAACGAAGTCAACGCTGTCAAATTCACACCCGATGGTTCCCATGTCGTCAGCGTCGGTGACGACCGTACTATCCGCGTATGGGATGCTCAGACTGGCACTCTGCTTCGAGTCATAGAAGGGCACGATGCTCCCATCCGTACTCTCAGTGTATCTCCCGACGGATTGAAGGTTGCAACAGGGTCAGAAGATACATCGGTGCGCGTTTGGGAAACTCAAACAGGCTCTCTGATAGCGGGGCTGTACAGCCACGATGGCTATGTGTTGTCCGTTTGCTCACTACAGGCAAATGAGCTAATTCTGTACCCAAGAATAAGCAGGAAAATGACCTGGAAAGTAAACATCTTCCTACAGATTTTCAGGCGAGGAATAAGCACGCGGAAAGTTATCATTTTCTGGTGCGCCAAGAGGCCAAACAAGGCAGGTTGAAGCGGTAATTGAATCTCCGCCAGCCCTAAATTTCCATAAATGGAAGCAAAGCTTGTTTTGGTCGCCTGAAAATTCACCGGAACATAAATCTTTTTCGGCCTCTGTTGGTCAAAGGGAAATATGGAGGAAAATATTTACTTTCCAGTGTATTTTCCTCCTTATTTTCGGGCCCAGAATTATCGCATTTGCCTGTAGTGGCTGGTCTCCTGGTGGAACATGCATTCTCAGCGGTTCTGGAGACAAATCAGTACAAGTGTGGAAGACCCCTGAAGGAGAACAGTTGCTCAAGGTCGAGCACGGTAATGCAGTTCGCTGTGTGGATTATGCTCCTGGGGGTGAAACGTTCTTGAGCGCTTCCAATGACAAGACAGTCGGCATCTGGGATATCAAGACTGGCCAGCTCCTTCGGTCTCTTGAAAACAAAAGCTGGGTGCCTGTGGCCGCATTTTCGCCCGATGGGACACGGATTGCAAGCGGGACACGAGATGGATACATCAGAGTTTGGGATACAGCGAGCGGAAATCTTCTCATGGGCAAGGTATGTTTCGGATCTACATCTTATAGTCTCACATGTTGATGTTGATAGGGAACGGAGGATGACGAAGAGAGTGAATCGATCCATAGAGCGGAAGGGCAGGTACGACGGGAGGTAGGTCTTATATTTCGTTTGCAAGTACGTGTACATTAACGGATTGACCTTGTAGCGCCGAGGCCACGCATCTGAGGAGAGTGTCATGAACGTGAGTCATCCCAACCTCCAGTAGCGTCTTTAACATACTGGTCAAACAGCTTCCTGCGACCATACGGAGACAAGGACCTGCCCGCAAGGGGACACGTCAGCCAGGCAACCAACGTGGACACTTCTCCCAGCATCATTCGGCAACACAGCTGAACCCGCTCCCTGTGCAGGAAGGTCGCCGAGTGACGGTCATAATCAAGAGGCTCCTTAACATGGCCCGTGGTCAACGCGCACAAACTCAGAACGAGAGCTCCGGAGGCGATCCCTCTAGGAACACGAACGCGTCCCGCTTGTGCCGCTTCGTACCGGTTTATACAGCCCGAGCCAAGCAAGTGAGTATTCTATGATATCTTCGGAGCCTGATATTCTAAGTGCGGCTGCCCAGCGCCTTGCTGTTGCTCCAGAACCGCGAAGCAACAACGATAGTGAGCAAGTTACAGAATCGGAGAGCGACGAAGAAGGAAACGTCGCTGCTGCTTCCACCCCTGGGCGCGGGCAAGCAGGGCCTTCACGTGCTGCCCCTTCGAGGATATCTTACCCTCCGGCCAACGTCTCATCCACCGAAGACGTCAGTGCCTTTTGCTGCTTCTCTTCGAAGGCTGAGTAGGCAAGGGAAGTCCCTGGAAGATGAGGAGAATAGGTAGACAGAATTGGAGACACGTTTAGGATATGACTGTTACAACACACACGTGCCTGACATATATGGAAAGATGCACATTGCGTTTAGCCCAATATACGCACACTCAGCATCAAATCCTGTCGTCCTGTGCGCATTTGACTCATTGGTATGATCGATCGTTGCCTTCGCGGCCTTGTTTCTCAGTGCGGTGAGCCCAAATCAAACTAGCCAAGAAGCATGGTGGTGCTTACGCCGCAAGGAGTAATTGTACGGTTCGGAGGTCCTACTTGATGACTTTGGCGGAGGGGAGGGGCGCCCACTGACCGGAGATACGAAGCGCATTGAGCCTGATTGTGTTAAATGAGAGCCGTGGTACGTACAATGAAATGTTCGTGAATACGTATCGACATCGATGCCTATCCTAGAAGCTATAGAACGCCTAGGACCGAGTCGTTCAGAAGCTGTATCACATAGTGTTCGTTAGTAAGAGAACCCTAACGAGGGTACAATGCGGTAATTGCTCACCGCTGAGTCTTGTCGTTGAAGCAGTCTAACCGTCTGAGCCAAGCCTATGTGTGATAGAAAAGTATTACTCGGAGACTTACCAGGGAAGACAACGATCTAGCCACCCATTTCCCACTGTGTTGGGTTGTCAGGGCTCTTTGTAACGACGCCCATGTCGAACCCCAGCGCATAGTGAATGTCCGGTGGGTAAAGCAGAGCAAGGCATGTTAGAAGCGGCACATCATTATATTAGAAAGTGTACTGAAGAGATGACGGATGATAGCCAAACATATCTTCCAGAACACTAGAGGTGCATATGCAGTCAGTGAACAGTCTTGAAAATCTTGTCCAGTAGGAAGTATTCGTGGTCGGGGGCGAGGATGAAAATCGGGCTTGTTTTGTGGTTTCAAGCGCGTAGATAGACGTAGATGTCAGTCTATGTTGCCCAAAATGATATCTTTGCATTCAAGCAGCTAGAGATGTAGTGTTGCCGTGGCTCGGCTCGGCTCGGCTCGAAGCTGAATCGCTCCCTAGTAAAAAAATAACAATTGAATTTTGTAGCGTAAGGTTTATGTTTCGAAGCAATGACTGGCAGCGACAATGGCAACCATGACATGACAATTACCTCACTAAGTATTTTGTTGCCTTTGTCGTAAGCCCACCAATCGGCTTGAGCCAGCTCCCGAGCTGCGGCAACACTATAGAGATGGCATGGTGACCTCGCTGTAGTCTGTGAACAGAAACTATCAAAGTCACGCATGCACCTACGCGAGACAGTAAAACCGCACCAGCGTAACCCAAATGGTAGCCGCAATAGAACTGCTCACGTTCCCAAAGAGATCAAAGACCACCACAGCCCCAACCACATCCGCCTCGTTCGAATTCCGCAGAAACATGCCGTGGAATAACAGACCGGAACTGGTAGTATACGGGCTGGTTGACGTACAGAACCATCGCATTGGGCGGGTCGAAGCTTCGGCCATTCACAGCGTGCGGTATATATATATTGGGAGGCCCGAGATACTTGCAGAAGCCGAGAGAGGTCTTGACGCGCAGGAAAGGCCTTGCGACTTCAAGCTTCAAGACGAGTGGGTGATCTACGCTGGAGAAGAATGCCTCGTTAATGAGAGGCGTTGGATCGACAAGGCGAGGGATCAAACGGTGTACGAGAACGGGATGGATGTAGGTATCCGAGGAAGAGGCGCATGGTTCAGCAGAAGCTCGAGGTCGCGTTCTGGAACCTCGTAACAGGTCGTCGAGTTGGTGATCCTCAGTTGGATGCGACTCTCTAAGTGAAACGTCTCTGTTCGCGACAGGAAGCAACATAGAGAAGGAAAGGGACGCACCCGCTTCGTAGGCGAACTCCAGATTCAGCCTCTCCGCATCGTTCCCGATGTCGTTGCACGTATCTCCAGCGAGAGCGAGGTTCGCAGGAGCTGCCAATGCTCTATGATGGTATTCTGTGCGCCAAGCCGTCCAACGTATGCTAAACACCACAGTGCACAAGAGTGTTCCTATCCATTTGCTGGAGAGTATAAGGGGTACCCGAGCACTATAAGTTGAATCAAACCGCCAGTCACCTGGGGCAAACGAGAATATTCTGATCTAGAGTATGATTCGGATGAGGGTTTGGTTTGGTAACCTGGGTCTAGTACTTGTCGGTGTATGAATAGGGTTTGGCCAGGCTACTAATTCAGCAACTTTTCTACTTGCGAATATATGTTGAGGAGGATAACATATTCAACGCTTGAAAGGGATAACTTGTCAAATACTAGTTGCGTGACGAACAGCCATTGAAAAGGACTTGGAAAAATAATATCTGTCAAGTCCTTTTCGGGGATTAATCGGGTTACATAATCAATGCCTGTTCAAGCGCTGGACAGGAAACCTCGCTCAAATAATTTTCGAATAACGAAAACGATTTCTTTTCAAGCGCTGTTTTGCGCCGCAATTAGCATTTGGGCGAATATCATATCCAAAACCTTTTCGTATTGTAAAACGTTATCCTACCCTACATATATCCAACGAAGAAACAGGAAAACCATCGGAACGTGACGTATCTGGTACTTATGCGGTGCTCTAACTCTGCGTCAATACCGCTACACAACGAACGTGCGGAGTACGTGAACAGGGTTGCAGATACCTTCATAGTGTGCAACGATAGCAGCGACACCAAGAGTCTTGACAGTCTCGAGCTCCAGCCCTCGTCGGAAGTGTGTAGTTGCGTCGTGCACGTATGGTCGGAGTGGCTCTGGTAATGGCAGCCGCAAGAGGGTCGGGCGGGGGAGGTATCAACAGCGCCGAAACGGTTGTTAGGCGTTCATTGGTTCATCGGAGACATGCGATTGGGGGTAGTAACCCAGCCTGGTGTGAAGGAAGCGTATCAGGCTAGCTCTGCACATGAGCGCGCTGGCAAGGGATACTCACGAGGGATGAACTTGACCAGAGACCAGGCTGCGAAGATATGTCAGCTCGTTGGCTGGGTCGACATACCCTCTGGTATACGAGGTCCATGAGGCAATGGGGTCAGCCGCACCGTTACACCTAGTGCGCGCGCGCCCGCAATGTATCGTCCGCAAAGCAGAGGCATGCACACCAGGCCAAGTGAAGTTCTGGGATTCGGTGATGGCGCACGTCCATGTAGATGTGCTCGAGATCTGAGGATGCTCAAGGTGTGCGGAAGAATGGAGGGACGAGTTGTAGCTTGCTGGGTTGTGTACAAGAGCAGCAAATGGTCGTGCGGGGCGAAAGGGCTGGTCGATGGACATTGCTGTTTCAGCGAGCATATGACGAACAATCGAGATGTCACTCACAACTTGCGTCCGTGTTCAATGGCTGCCTGCAGGCTATCCAGTTAGTGAGCCCCGCCAAGGGCATGAGATTTTGAGCGATCGATGTTGGATGAGGACACAAGGAGTGGAGTGTAAGAGGCGTTAGCTACTAGCTAGTCACGGCCAACTAATGGCTACCCACCATGATTTGGACCTGACAGCCGTCCTGGGACAGGGCATACGTAACGGAGATGAAGGTTTGAGCAAAGGGAAAGAGGGACGCGTCGTTGTTTGTGCGTGTCATGGTAGCTAACCCAGTGTGGACGCGGTGAGCTCGAAGGGTAGCTCAGACTGTGCGCATCCGCACCTGACTCGGACCTTGCCAACCATACCTCAGATTCAGCCCTTATGATGGAAGGTACGTTCTGCAAAGTGCTCAGCTTGACTTTTTCTGGATCTGAGAGCTACCTCGAAGAGGACAAACAGTTGCTATTTCGTGTTGAAACACCCCACAGTAGGAACCGCGACGAGCGTACTCTCATCGAACTTCCGAAGCCTCCTCACTGGGACGATGCGCGGAAGAATGAAATTTTGCAGAACGTCACACTGACATGGTCTCTGGATCAATTTAATCAGTCGTCTGGCGTCAAGCCCGACAGTTCATCTTCCAACCGCAGGGAACGTGCACATCACCCGCATGCTCCTCAGAGGTCGGCCTGGAGACGTTGCACTTAAATCTTCCAAGCTAATGATGATTGTGCCAGGACAAAGATGGATCGCCACAAACACACCCTTGTGACCTCATCGCAAAGCGTGAGTGTCCCTTCAAGCCTAGCGTAAGTGCATCATGTTGGTCTTCGACGCACTGCTCACAATCTGACTAGGCCCGATGGTATTTACGAAGTAAAAGGCGAGAGGGTTTATCCTGCTCCGAGGTCAGCTTGTGTGTACTCTGCAAAGCTTTCTCTGACAGCATTATCAAGGGAGCTACCGTCCACCCGCACAGGAGAAGATAGCACCTCCATCACAGAAGTGACGGTACGTTTATAGTCACATATGTCATTTGCGGGCCCACTCACGTTTCATAGATATTCCAACAGCGCAAATTTCAGAAGTACCGCGATGCAAACTCTAGTGGTGGCTTCTACTGGATTGGCACCTGCTCTGACGGTTTAATCGACACGCCAGCGATTCCGCCTGATCAGGCCGAAGCCAGAGATTTGGTTCTTCATCGATCCAAAGCGGGATATCAAGTCTGGATTCGGTCTGGCAAAGGCAGCCTTCAGTGGCTTCGGGCGGGTGCTGGGCACACGCCTCTATATGATCGATTCATCGCGATCACGGAGAAGGGTCGTCTGACACTGGTGAAAGAAGAGCATTGGAAAAGGGAGTACAAAAAGGATTACGACAGCGGAGGTTCTCCCATCATTGAAGCATAAAATCGAACTTAAATTGATGGTTCTCAGTAGCGTAGTTACATGTTTAGCCTCGTTCCGTGAATCTGAACGCCGTAAAGACACGTCGTTGGGCTACCCCAGTTAGTGACGACATCCACTACCACGACATCTACTGCAATACCTAGAGCACGAACCTCGTCCAATACTGTAAACGTTTGTATTGACACATCGGCTGTTATGTTGTACTCAACAAGCCCCAATGGAATGAAGGAATTGGCGGCAGAGATTGGGGGGGTAGGCCTAGATAAAAGTAATTCCTTCAGGCGGTCCGGAAGCGTGATCTCCTCTACCGCTTGAGTAACTTCTTCGTCATTGACAAGCCCCCAAACAAGGACTTCACGAGGTGCCAACTTGATGTCATGAGCTATCTGGGGAGATATATGTTCGACCGTGACATGCGAAACTATGATGGGCTCTGTAAGCAGGATTCCCAACTGGCCAGAAGGCGCGCCAACGTTCCAGCATGTTCCAAGGTCATTGTTAAACACCAGGACGGACTCGGGTGGGTGCGCGGATAGTCGGGGAGACTTGAGAAGCACGCTCCACCACCGGCGTGTAGGCCTTGTAGGAGTGGTAAGGGATGAAACGACTTGTGCACCTGCCGATCGCAGAGCAAAGTTTGGGAGGCCGACGTGGCCATGGCAATGATGCTGGATTGCACGCTGGATTTCTGTAGCAGTAGACGTAAGAGCCACGCTGCCCTGTTGGTGAGGTAGGATATGTTGGAGCTCAATGACGGCTGACTCGAGCGCAGACAAACGCCGGTCAAGCTCGCCGGACATGACAGGTACGGAGGGAACGAGATCTATGATGTGACTCGGGAGGCAGGACGTGAGGTCACTGTCATGGGCGCAACGAACTAGACGGGAGACCACAGACGCAAACAAAATTAACAGCATGGACACTGTAACCTGTTGCAGGAGAGGACGCCAGGAAGTGTTTCGGGGAGGGGAATGTGGGCCAGCAGTAAAAAGATCTTCGATGTAACTGTTCTCGCTCTTGGTTGAGAAACGTTGAGAGTTTTTTCTGTTCGTATTCGCCTTTGAGGTGTGGTCAAAGCTTTCGTGAGGCATGACCTACTTGAGCTTGTGAGTGCGCAATACTAGCCCGAGGAGAGAAGGCATACCGTGACGCCCGCACCCGAGAGCCCCGACATTGTGTTTCGTAGCTGTTTGCGACGAGTTGAGGACACCTGAGTACTATTGATATGAGTTTCGAGACAAGGATGTATGTACTTAAGAGTACGCACGAAGGGTTGGAATTTCTACAATTTCAGTGAGTGAGCAAGACGAGAGCCGGTGTCGACGCTCAGACTTGCTGACATCAACTTCGGCTCTGCCACTTTCCTAAATTGTGGGCGAGTTTTCACACCATCTCAACAGATCCTTGGACATATATACTCAACTGAGGACGCGCCAGAATCTGCTTGAGGGATTTTAAATCAAAAAGATACATAGGTGGTTAAACGCGGATTTTTTCGAGCGAATCTATAGTACAGGAGCTCCTCCGTAGATACGTGTACCTATAAACAGTTAATATCATCAACCGTTTGGTGCCAAACATCGTTCGTAATTCTCTCTCTCTTATCCCATGCCTCCCTGAGCCAAACGTGGTGACTAACTTGATCTATGCTCGGGCGGTTCGCCGGGTTTTTTTGCAGAAGGAGCCTTATGAGCTGACGAGCTGCGGAATGGTCGGCGACTCAGCGGATGGACCTGTCGTAACAAATTATCCTCACCTTGAGAGCTGATGTGCGTGACATTCTCCCACTTTGGTGATCGCAAATCATCGTACATCTTCAGTTTATGGTTCCACTTCACATCGTCAGGGTCGAAGGGGTCGGTGGGCGCAAACCTGGAACGCATAAATTTCTCTCGTTTGACCTTGAATCAATCTGCTGACTCACATCATGTACAAGGTCACTCCGAGGCACCACTGATCTATCTTCTGGTCGTATTGGCCGCCGCGCGCCTTGCAGATATATATCTCGGGGGCCATGTAAACTGGTGTTCCAAGCGCAGTCTAGGAGTCCTCAGCGTACGCCTGCGGCATTTGGAGAAAATGGTTACCTTGGCGAACGTTCCCTTTTCGACATATTTGGCGAGTCCAAAATCTGCGAGCTTGACTTGAATAGGTTTCACGTTAGCGACCAGTACATTCTGAAAGTGTCCTGGATAAATATCATCTCGTCAAAAGGATCGTAGAATGTACTTCAGGTTTGAGGTCGCGGTGCAGAACTCCATGCTTGTGCAGAAACTATAGTCTCGTGATGAGCGAGGCATATTCGAGCACGAGAAAATATTACACGTACTCGAGGCGCTTCGCACAAGTCAACCATGACTCTTTTAGCTTTGGTCTCGGCTGTTGAATTTTTTTTAGGATGACGGGGACCGAAGCGCGAACTGAATGTATCACTTACTCAATCCATTTTCCGCAACGGTATGTTGAAGTAGATCTCCGTATGGCATTAGCTCCATCACGATGTCTGAAAGGGGGATGAGCATGGGACGAACGTTGCGGGAATGGAGTGCGTACAGAAGTTTTGACGAGTTTCGTGGATTGACTGCAAATTTACAATTTTGGGCTATACCAGAGATAAGTGGAGAATCATAAGAGGAAAAAAAGAACCGCTTACATGACGTAGTTGCTGAAGGAGAAGTATTTCCTTCAACACGTGCTCATCTTCCTCCCGCTTCGGACTGCCGAGACCAATCTTGCGGATGACCTTGACTGCGAACATGGACCCGGTGCTGTTGTGTTTAGCCTCGTACACGCTCCCATAGCCTCCCATTCCAATGCTGAACGCGATAAAAGATACATAAGCTAGAGGTTAATGAGGAGAATAATGAAGGCTCACTAAGTACCAAGTTTATAGGCGGATTTGAACTATAATATTGTAGTGTATCAGCTCGCAAAAAGGACAGATTCTTCTCATCGATAAAGCTCACCGATTGAGTTGGAATTGGTGTAAACTCCAGTGCTGTTGACACGATCAGAGGTGTTCGTAGCGAACAAGAACAATAATCGTACTTATGACCTCTTCAGTGGGACCGGCCAACGTAATGCGAGAACCGTGGTCAATCTCAGTCATATAGTTCTGGGGGAGCTCCAGCCCGTCCACCTGTTCAGTTCCGTTAGGATGTGCACATGACATTGTTCTGAATGCGCACCACTACTGTGCCAGCGGTATGGTTTTCGACCCAATAACTTGAGGCATGGATGATGTCTCCGGCTCGGTAGATAGTCAGATGTAACGTCTCTGAAATATAAGGTTTTAGTAGTGATTTTGGGAGTCGAGTAAGCCAGCTCACCGACTGTCGATAAGGGGATTGGCATGTTGCAGCTCGTGTTGCGTCCGATACGAAACCGGTCCTGTCCGATGAACATGGGCATGACAGAGTCCGTCGGCTCTGCGCCTAGAGTCGACATCCGTAACTTCCCCCACAAGGCAGTGTCGATGTAGGTTGGAGATGCGCCAGACATAGATGAACGGGGGTACGAAAAGCCTGAGGCGGTGAACTTTCAGTGGTCGGTGTCGATGGACTGGGGAGACGTAAGGTTAGCGTTGTTTTATAGGTAGCACTGCCCACCTTGAGCGCCGTCCATCTTGTATTTTCCTGGCGATACGTCCAGCGTTCGGAACAAGGAATAGTTCTGAAAAGGCATGCGGTAGAGCGTTGGCGTCGACATGCGAATTCGTGCAGGCGGACTGCGGGCACAAACACATAACAATAGTTCCCTTATTCAGCCCTCACGCCCACAGAGTCAACACCGCTTAGCCCGATCGCGCCCACATTCAATACATCGCTTGCCAAGCCCTTGTTGATCGTACCCACAGTCAATCAATCCCACGCTTTGCTACTTATCAACCTATTTTTACTTGGTATGAACACGGCTGGCAATCCTCCTTAGCTACCAAGATTATGATTAGCTACGCGTACCTCAATGTTACCTCGACATGAGAAACTGTCCTTGAACAATGTTGTCGTCTTGTATTCCTCATTGGAACTACTACGGCATGCCTCAGATAAGATGTAGTGCGTAGCTTCGGCAATGGTGCGGAACCTTATGTCTATGTCAAGCGAAGCAGGGTCCCGTCAGATGGTGTGTCAAAGGTGATGAACCATGCTTACCCTGTCCAGCGAGCGCACCACGATGCATTCACGTGTCATTCCAGGAGGAACGTATGTGAACGACGCGAAGTGGGCGACAACATCGCATGTGCGTACTACGTGCTCGGTAGGTTCCAACGTGTTGTAACACAACCACGCGCCAAGATGTTCAATCCGAGCGAACGGGTCACAGACAGCATCCGTCGGCGAAAGAGTCTCATATGCCTTGATGACCAAGAACGCCTGGGTTGTCATTGACATTGCGTCCTTCCGAGAGTGGTAGAAAATGGACTGTATTCGGCCAGCTAGGGGTGCTGTACTAGTTGTCGAAGGTTGTCGGAACAAGACGAAGGAGTTCCCAGATGGGTGGGATGCCTGAGAGGCCGAAAACGTGATGCCACCCGACTGAAGCACCCTTGCGAATACGGCACTGGGATGAAGTATTGTCGCGTCACGGCCTGTCGAGGTCAATGAGATGAATCGGGTAGTGGATGTCTGGTTGACAAGGGAGAGCAGGCGATTGTACACATGTTGCGCGAGTGGCTGTTGCTGCCCTTCGGGGGTAATCGTGACATTCTCGGAGGTATCTGACTCGCGGTCAGCAAACAGCCCGTTAAAGAGAGATTGATCCAGGGGAACGGTGGAGATCGCAGAGAAGGCTTTATAGAGCCGTGTTCGTAGAGAGGAGAACTGTCTTGAGGGAGGCAAATACATGTTGGCGGCAATGGCACGAAGATTGGCTGCCATCGTGAAAAACTTTGCAAACGTTAGTTCCATCTCGGCTATGATATTGACACTTAGCGCATGCTCGATAAACGGGGAGAAGAGGACTCACCAGATTTTTTATTGACGTTGATGTCTTGGATGATGCCATTGTATCTCTCAAAGGGAAATGACCACCAGGCGTGGACTGGCCCAAATAGATAGAGACAGTCGTCAAGATGTAACGCAAGGTGGTGGTTCGGAACGAGGGAGACGTCGGGGTAGAGATCAAGTAGCCCACCGAGATAGCTTGTCATCCGGTGCTGGTATATCTTGATCCGCTCTAGGGACGTCGTTCGTCGAGTCGCCATGTCGACAGCGATGACTAAATCAATGAAGTTCCTGAGATACTCCCTCTCCTGGTCAGAGGCTTCGACAAGACCCCACTTGCGAACCAGGGTGATGACAAGAGACACGGTACACACCGTGCGCCACTGATCCGCCTTGAGCTTTCCATGGGCAGGTGACCCGAAGTTACGAGGAGGCCGCCCTAGCCAAGTCGGATAAGTTGTACGCTTCATATCCGCATGGACCATTTCAAGCGTCTCCTTGTTTAGAATCCTAAACCAAGGCGATTCAGCATCAGCCTCTAGTTGTACACCTTCGCCATCCTTCGGTAGAACGCTCGGATCGGTGTCAGCCTCCGGCTGCACGACGTCACCGTCCGACATATCTTGGACCTTAATCTCGGGCCGTTTGATTTCCGGTTCGTTGTTGTCTTTAAACTATGCAGACGAGTTGATCACAATGGCGGCGCTCAGCATACAAGGAGCTGACTTACCCACTGTAGCAATGCAAGGATGTAGGCTTTTTTCGTCGGTTCTGAGCCCTCGGGAATGACGTTGTTTGCCTCTGCCACGGCCACGATATAATCCTTGCGGCTTTTCTCGATTTTCCCGAAGTTATCGGTACTTACACCCTCCTCGATTGAGTCTAGATTGTTCTTCTGTTGAAGGGGCGTGTGGGGAGGAAGCACCTTCTCTCGAGGCTTGGTTTGATCAGACTTGATGGTGAGCCCCCAGACGTCCCGACAATGAAACTGAAACTCTCCTGAGCAGGGACGTTAATGATATACCATGTTGGATCGTCAGCCTCTCACCGAGAAATAGGTTGTGCATCGCGTCGACAACGGTGAATCTAACAACATCCCAATACGGCAGGCGAAGGAGCTCGGACCACCGGGCCCCACGGCGCTTAACAGCTGTTTGCCGAGCGTTCTCCGATGTCGCCTGCACCCATAGCTCGGCGTCTCTGAGGTGTTCAGCAGCTGTCCTTGGCTCCCAGGAACCCTTATACAGATCAGTGATGTCGGCGAGAGGAAGCCGACAGAATGAACAGAATAGATTGGCCCTATGTCCGGCAAAACCTGCAGTTTTTCTAGCAGCCAGTAGATCACAGACCAAAGGACCGAGAGCAACGCGAACGGTGCGCCCTGCCGGATAACGATGCGTCCTGAGAAGAGTGATGCCGTACTTCCACAATCGCATGAGATCGTTGACCAGAGGTCTGAGGAAGTTGTTGATCTGGCCGACAGACGGCTCCCGTGGCCCCGGCATAATGCCCACAAGGTAAACATTTTCGAGCTTGTATCGTAGATGGGGTGGGAGATTGAGACAGACCATGTATATAGCTCCTGTGGAATGGGATTTGCCAGCCGCCTTGTTGCCAAATGGATTAAACCAATCCACAAAAAGACTAAACACCAGATGCGCATCGTTACCTGCTGGCAGAGTGAACGGCCGGCCGTCGGGTCCCTTGAGCTCGCGTAGAGCCGTCCCGTCCCAGATATCTTCCCATTTCTCTTTCGCCGAGCTAGCTGGAGTTTGGCCCTGGATCAAAACTGCCTCGACGTCGGGCCGAGTAAAAAAACGTGCGAGCCATGACGAAAAGGGCTGGTACGCGAACGTCTTGACTGGTTTGCGTGCTTGCTTGATGCCGCGTCCTTGTGCGCGTTCACCTGACTGAAGGAGAGGGGTATCACAGACGTCTCCTTTCACATCCTTGAAGCTGCATTTTTCAGGGTATAAAGAATCTGAGGCTGGATCAGCCTGAGGGGGGTATGTACTGAGGCAACTGGGGCAGCAAGCATAGTGAACGAGATCGGGTGCGATGTCGAATTGGTCGAGGGCTGTCCGCACATCATCTGGAAGATCATCAATGATAGCTTCCTCCTCTGTGGACAGAGGCGGCGGCAGAGTGTCATCTGGAAAACCTCGAAGTTGCCAGATGACCGTAACGATCAACGCCTGCAGAGTTGCTAGGACTGCATTCGCATCTATGCGTGAAACTCCCCCGAGGACGTGTAGAATCACAACAAGGAAAGAAGCAAGTGCAGCAGCAGAGTTCACCGCGAGATTATTTGCGTTTATAAACCGCTCTGTAGATCATCGCCCCTGTTTTACTACATGAAGATACGCCCAAAAGGTGACTACATACCGGTCGGTACAATTTCAGGCCCATAAAAGCGGCCGCTAGTTTTGAAGTCAGGATCGGCTGCGAGATTGGCTTTCATGTCGTGCGCAAGCTGAGTTTGTACCATATGCGACAGGAACTGGGTTCGTTTGATCTCATCGAGCCGTTCGAGTGACTCTCTTGCTTGTTTGACGAGCGAGTCGCGCATGATCAAAACCTCTTGATTACCCGATACATCGAGTTGCTGGAGTGTGCGAATCGTGGATCGAAGCCATGCTTCATGTTGGATGAAATCTGCATTGGCACGGTGGGAGGGAAGAGGAGGCACTGGCATTTGCTTGACCTCGTCGAAACTGTTAGCACTCATCCATGGAAGGTAACTATTCAGATCTTCGCTGTCACCGAAGGTCAGGCTAAGAGGCTTCAATCTGAAGGAACGTTCTCGGTACTTCAGATCGGACTCGACGAGGATGACCGTTCGGAGAAGCTGGGTTGGCGGCTATAAGGTCAATTGTCAGAATTGATACGACAAATTGAGCATATAGCAACTTCTACGTACCGCTGGCTTTGGATCGATAACCATCGCAGGTACAGTCTTGTTCTGTCCAACTCGAGTATAGCTACTACCCTCAGGCTCACTCCCCTGCCAGTGTAGCTAGATAATATTGTCAATGATCAGCGAATTTGTACCGCTCTGGATCACATACCGTATTATCCAACCCAGTGCTTCTTCTCTGAGGGGGTCCATCGTCTGGCGGCTCAGGAAGATCCCCCGGTCAAACAGGAAGATAGCCAAGGTTGATGTCACCTTCGTCCGAGCCTTGGTGAATAGCAGATGCTAGGACGGTGGTGGCTATTGCGCTATGTAATCCTTGAGGTCGCGGCGGCGGTTTATTGTTGTGACGTCTAAACATATTGGCATTGACCATTCGACCGGGAACCTTTACCCCATCCGCGTCGGTGATCACAGTCCCCCCTTTCCGGCACTTTGAACAGACACAAGGATATGAAGGTTCGGTTGCTGGACCATTGCTCGATGACGCAGGCGCTCGCGTGATGGGCATTGGTGAAGGTTGCTTCGGTTGAGCGGCAGCAACATCAAATTGTATAGATAGAATGTAGATTGACTAATAAGGAATGCGGTGTAAGTAATTAAGCTTTTTATAAAGCACCGCGTTGGATAGCACCGGCGGTCGACACATCTAGTAGGTATGTAACTTGAATCTGATATCCATATGTAACCATGGTTCGGTGGCCACCACCAATATAATGGCTGCGACAGCGAGATAGAGATAGATCTGGAATAGAAGGTTTGGTGAGCTGCTAATTCGTACACGAGCATGTTTCGAAATCTCACAGAGCTATGTTGCACTAGAATACGCGATCGCGTACTGAGCATGCGACCGTTACGAACACTGTGAGAATGCCAAAAGTAGATGCTACAAGTGCTGTCAACTCGAGAGAGCGCAGCGGAGACAAGAACTGCCGGCATTGTTTGGTCTAGATGGCAGGGAGCCTGGGTGACAAAGACGAATAAGCTTTCGGACGGAGGTATAGCAGGAGGAAGTCACCCACGCTGAAAGCAACAACAGCGTCATTGGCTGCAAGGGATCGCATTGGCCTCATTAAATGTGTCCAATATGAAGAGGTTACGACTTGCCCTTGTGCTCCAAACCATACAGTGCCTTCTTTGTCTCTAAATCCCATATGCGAATTACATTTGCAGAGTAACCGCCAACCAAGCAGCGGCCACCATGTATGAAAGAAACAGGAACGCGACCGTAATATCCAGCAGTTTTGTATCGCAAAACAGTCTGGGGTTTCATCCTAGCCTGGATATCGTAGATGTCAAAGCCATTTGTCATATTGGAGATGGCAAAGAACTTATGATCGGGGGAAATCGATGACCCGCCGCTGCAAAGTAGTGTCACTCGAAGAACATTGAGGAGACGAGAGCGCGCCGCACATCATGGTCCTGATTGAGTGGTAGTCGAGAGATTTTCGTGAACGAGCGTCCCAGATCCTGATGTATTCAAAACACATGCAATCAACAAGCTTTCTCGGTAGTGAAGGACAGAAACTAACACTATGCCATGGTGAACATAGCAAACGAAGAGCACTTGAGAGGATGATGACGTGGTTGCCCAGTGCAAGCTGCTTGCAATTACGTCGGCGTCTGCGTTTTCTCCGACTACAGGGGGTGGGTCCAGCACGGCTATGGCATCCATTTGAGCTAAGTAATAAAGATGAGCATACTGAATGGCGTGTTTCACGGGAGTGTAATAAGGGAACCGGTACCTCTCTCAGTGAAATGCCACACACGAACTTCTTTGTGGGCACCTGTTGCTAACATATCGCCTTGAATTGCTAGACATTCCACCGGATACTTGCTGCTAGAGGAAACTCCAATACACTCGAGTGCGTTCTAAGAGAACAAGTCTATATTGATAAGTACTCGCAAGGGAACGGTAAGCTTTACATACCTTGTGAATTTTCACATATACAATGACGCCGTTACCCAATCCAACGAGGAAAGCATACTCGGATGGGGCCCTCCAGACCAGAGAGACTACGGGAACTTCTATCTCGTAAGAGAAGAGGAAATTACCCGACTTCGTCGCCCACACAGCAATAACGCCATCCAAACAGCCGGCCGCAACGAAGCGACCCTGGGGACTGAGACTGAGACATGCCACCGGCTGCTTCAGATGTTCTGTTAACCTCTTTGTCAACACGTAGGTCTTGGGGGGCGTAGGAGGCATTGGACAAGCTCAAGCCAGAGGCGGAAGGCCGGTTGCAGCACATATAGTTACTAATTTGGGACAACAACACAGTCACATGCGTCTCACCCAGGAAATTTAGAAGGTGACAAAGAACATATATCATACGCATAAACATAGTACATATGCATGTAGTACCTAATATATAGCATATAATCGAGTAGGCAACCGATCTATAACCAGATGATCCTACAGCAGACCTACTCCATGATGATTGACATGCGCTTGATACACTCTTCAAGTCCGTCTCGCTGACGAACGTTCCGATCACGTTGGTTAGTCCGCCCACGCTTGCTAGAGTTCGGAGACTTCGGCTCCTCAGCAGGCTCGTCGAGGATAGTCGTGTTCTTGTGCGTTTTCATGGTATCCGGCCTGTGTACTATCGCACCACCGTATGCGGCAAGCCAAGGATGCTGGATTGCGTAGGACATGGACATTCGATCTCCGGGATGAGGTTGAAGAAGACCTTCAACGAAGTGCCTGGCTAGTAAGGGTCAGATGAGGCACGATAGGCTGCGACTGGAGATACGCACCTGCTTTACTGAGTGACACGTCATTGAGGATCGCCCACTGCACGGTCCTGTTGACGTTGAAATCCCCATCGCACGTCGAGTCATGAATGAAGGGCAATTGGCCGGTGAGCATGGCAAACACAGTAACACCAACGCTCCAAGAATCGACGAGATTAGTGTAAGCCTCGTGTTTTTGCTGCTTCGCGATTTCGGGAGCAAGGTACCAAGGCGTCCCGCACTTCGTCTGAGGATTACAATCAGCCTAGAAATTCCAAGGGAAAGAGTAAATAACTCGCCTTGGGGGGTGAATTTTTACTGAGGACTTTGGCGAGACCGAAGTCGGCAATTTTGACGACAGGGGGAGAATCCGAAGTAAGAAGAATGTTTTCGGGCTTGAGATCGCGATGGATGATACCACGGTCGTGAACATACTATACAAAAATGTGAGAAACAAGGTTTACGAAGAAGGTAGAAATTGACGTACCGCCAGGGCAACCACGATTTGGTGCGTAATATGGCGTGCCATATCTTCGTCTAAGAATACGTTAGCAACGAAGAAAGAAGGCAAAAGCAGAGGACGAACCCAAGCCGTTATACTTGTCAATGAAATCTAACAGGTTTCCTCCATCCACGTATTCGAGAACAAGATCTACCCAGAGATTCGTGAGCAAATAAAATTAGAATGGGCCGGATCATGATACGTACTGACAATGGGGTCCTTGAAGAAAGCCTCCCTGATTCGACAGATGTTGACATGATGGAGTTTCTCAAGTACAGAAATTTCCTGCGTGAACTGGGCCATGTACTTTTCCTCCTCATCGTCGTCGGCGGCGGGCGATCGACCGGGGGTAGAGGGTACCCACCTAGCCACCTTAGAGCGTATAGCTTTGATGGCGAACACCTTGCCCGTTTGACGGTCGACGGCCTTGAACACGGTCCCGAAATTGCCCTGACCAAGATGGTCTCCAACGTCATAGTAGGTGTTTAAGTCGGTTCCGAGCGGAGCCGTGGCTTTGTGACGGTAAATGTAGCCTATGGGAAGAAATAGGTAAATGGCTGAGAGATTGTCCCGTACGGTGTGAAGGACGTACGATAGTCATCCAACGATGAGTTGGGGTGGTCTTGGTACTGCCCGAAAACAATCGTATCCCCGTCTTGCAAGACTTCGGTACGATCCTGGCCGATTTTGAAGCCGTTGATCTGTTGGAATAACTTAGCATTCGTATACAAAAACAGTAGCAGGGCATACGTACCCAGGTCCCATTGGTCGATAAATCGGTCACTTTAACCTGGCCTCGATGATCCCAAGCAATTAGACAATGTCAGTTGCCTACGCAGAGATGTGAATTAGCGCCTGATCAATGCTCGGGGTGGTCTATGGTTCGGGGAAGATACTCACTGATGGTAAGGCCGGGGAGGGCAAAGTCGTTGATCTTCTTGCGTCGACCAATGAAGACGGTCGGTCTAGTTTCGTGGAATTCCATGGGCTCTGAAAGCGGGTTGCAGGGGACCAGCATACCCCACAGGGGCATCTTGATGTTGTTGGGTTCCACGGACTTGACGCCTTGGATCTCGGCGGCAGCTTCGATAGTGGCAGTTGACAGGTCGCTTGCAAGGCTATGCTCGACTTGTCGCCACTTGAGTAGTTGGAAAATGGTCTGCATGGCGAAGATGAGGGAGGTGCTACGAAGGAAGTTCTGTCGAGCAGGGAATTGGTGTCTGAGGCGAAAGAAAGCGTCAGAGGTCAGACGATTATATAGAGTGCAAGCTGGAACAATGAACAATGGCCAAGCAATAGACCTACTCCATCAATCATGGTTGCCAGCTTGCTATGGGACGCTTGGACAATAGCACACAAAGTCGATGCGTCGAGGGGGGTAAGCGTAGGTCAATGCCAGTCCGTCGTAGCTTTGACCAAGGAGCAGCCGCCAGCACTCGCAATAGGAGTCATGCTGATAAGCCAGTGTTATGGGAAGAGAAAAGGGACAATGCGGATTGGTGAAGAGTATACGACGTTTCTTTAGGATGGCACGGACTGGGAGAGCGAGGATAACGAAGAGAGAGGAGAACGAACGGAACAGACACTTAGCAACGCAGGGTTAGGGTCACTCGCGTGCAATGCATCCGGCTAATACATCCGAACTGGCTGCCAACCGTAGCTCATGCCACCGTAGCGCTTAGCCCTGATCACGAAGAACAAAGGAAAGCCCTGATCACCCCTCGAAGAACAAAAGAAACAAGCTCTCTATGACGCCGCTACTACACGCGCGAGCCTCTCATTTCACTACGTCCACATTGAGTCCATTGTCCTGCCATGTCTCTCGTAGCTCAGGGCGGTAAGGATCCAAAACCACCTCAGTTCTTTGCCTACTCCGCTATGCCATTTCCCACCGACGACGATGAATCTTCTCGTTCAACATCTCCATCGCCAGACCATGCTACCGACAACATACCAAATCTCGGCTACCTCACCGAATTACTTCTGGACTGCTTGAAGCGCCTTGAAAACTTGGAACGCGGAACCTGCAAGTACGAGCAACGGATAGTCGATTTGGAAGACGCCTCTGCTACCCTTCCTCCAGATACCAACCAAGATTCGCACAAGTTGCAAAATTTGGCCTCTGATAACGTAAGTTCGTCGAGTTTCTTCTAATCCTTTTCTTACAAACATATCTCTAGGACGCACACCAAAGGGCTATCACATCATTAGAGGGCCACGTACAACGCCTCGAAGAGAGCATAGCGACTGTTCACAGCACCATTTCGAAGACATCTGACAGGCATAACAGTGCGTTCTGCCTCCCTCATCTTCGCGCACCATATCACTAATAGCGTATTGTAGACACTCTGAAGGAAGCGGAGACTCGGTTGTTTGCCGATGTCGAGTCCATCATTTCTATAAGGCTGAAGGCGACGAACGACAAGCTATCTTCCAATCAAAAAGAGGTGGATACGCTCATGAATCTACAGGACGCTCTCAAGAAAGAATCCATCCAACTTTCCGAGAAAGTCGCGCAGACTGACGTAATGCTAGAATCACTGAAGACATGGTCAAGCACCGTCTCTGAGCTCACGTCTCATGTTTTGACCCTCCAAGCCCAGTACTCTGAACTCGATCGTACCGTGGACGGTTTACACGACCAAGTGAGGGACGTCTCCTCTGAATACCCTCAGATGACTCTCCAAGACGAGCTGCAAGGCCTTCCGGACTCCCCTGCCGTTTTCACCGATAGCATAGGCGAAGACTTGGTGAAAGAAAGTGATTACGCATGCGTAAGTCTCCTCGTTGCTGCTATAGATGGATGTTGTCGAGCTTATTTTATGTAGCACCATGCACATCACCCGACCACTATCAAACATTTCGCCATAGTCTCTCTCTGGATGATCTCCTGGACGACGCGGCTCAGACGCCTCAACTCAACGCCTCTCTCGTGAACATGATGTTACGGCAGTTTGAGGATGGTGCATTGGCTGAGATTTTGAGTCACTTGCACCAACGTGGTGCTAAGGTAATTTGCCGCTTGCAATATCTTGTCTGTTCAACACTGACTCGTTTTCGCAGGCGTATGGTACGATGAGGCGATGCAACGTCAGACTTCTTGAGCGCGGCATCGCCTTCTCGATTATTATGTTTATTCTTTTGTGGTACATATGCAGTACCGAACCGTTACATCACGAGCACACCAGAGTTGACGAAGGTTTCTATTTTAATCTATCATGAGCTTAATCTTTCGCTTTTAGTACTGGTAGCTACGACGTTAGTAATGAGGGTCTTTAGGTACGGGTGAATATGTTAGCTACTGCATTGCAAATACTACCTCCAGCGGATCACACTTTGACGTCATTAAGCGAGCTAAGAGTGTTGCCTTCGATGAGCTCGGAGAAACTCACGTGTACGAACAAGTGCCCGGGAACATATTGGGGGCAGATCTTAAACAAGGAATATCACCACGGGTACGAGCTAAGAGATAGCACAAGGCGGCAACAATGTTAAGGATGATTCCGAGTCCAAGCATTAACGCATAGCCAGTGGCCGTAAGTGTTAATAAGACAATTTCCTCTTTTGGCTACGCTTCCGTTGGTTACTTCGTTCAGTGTTCCAGTGGGCGCAAAGTAGGCTCACTTACCTACGGTACGCCAAGTGCCCATAAACTCAAGCACTCAAGACGACACTGGCACCACGGACGCTCGCTGCCCACAAACAAGATCTCATCCCTATGTCTAAAGAATCCCATCCCTATTCCGATGCCTCTCTCTGGGGAAAACTCCACTTCTCGGTTCCAGACGCACATGGAGAGCCAGCAGACGTTGAGGTGCCCATGTTCATTGGGGAGGACCAATTTCGCATTGGTAGAGATCGCGATCTCTGCCAAATGTGGATTTCTTTACCTGACATTGGTCAGTAGAGCTTTCCCCTATCCCAGACAGGCACTGACGCCCCAATTTCTCTACAGAGCATATACACCTCGCTATCCACCGAGCTGGGAATGCCATCCATGCATCAAGCTACTGGGTCACTAACCATACCGCCAATGGGATATTGGTACGTATTTGTGAAAATCACCGTCTCCGGACCTTGATCGACATAACGATCATGTAGATCAACGGTCAGAAGGTCATGAAAGTGGCCGAACTGTTCGACGGATCCTACATCACACTGCAATCCCATTCTGCTGCAGATCTCATGAGTTCGATGATTCCATATCTCGCTGATTACTACTCAACGTTCCCATCAGCTCTTCGGTTCTCAGCTATTACAGCACAGCCGGTGTGTGATAGTTTCCTCGCTGTGCCTTTGGATCAGCTGCTCATTCATACTTTGCAGTTCAGTGCTATGTATTCCATTGGACGATAGTGAGTTTGCTATTGTATGGCGCTTATCCGCTAATTAATGTCCTCTGGTCGATTCCAGTATCGGTTCAGGTGGATACGGGAGTGTTTATGAGGCTCGGGAGAACCAGAATGGGGCCGTTTATGCGGCTAAAATCTTGACTAAAATTGGCTTCGGCAAATGCAACAACGTAGAAGGGGAGGAAGACGACGAGGCCTATATTTTGAAGGAGATGTTTCTCCTGCAGCGCATGCACCATGTAAGCCCAAATTTCAGCTAATAAGACACTTTACTCATTACCTATTAGCACAAAATCGTAGCACTTCAGTCAGTTCATGAAAATGATGAAAATTTCTGTATGTGTCCATCTCTCCTTTTACTCTCTACGATGCCCGCCTCATTGTTTCAGACATTGTAATGGAGCTTTTCCCTGATGGGGACTTGCTTTCGCTGATAGAGTCGGAGGGTGGATTAGGCAAGTGCCGGGGTCTACTCGGAATGGCACTGAATAAGCGATTTTCCGTCAGATGAGCCCAAAGCCAAGACGGTGACGGTCGATCTGTGTGAGGCTTTGCAGGTAAGCGCAGCTAATGTGACTTGCGTAACGGTTATATATTAACTGCAAATCAGTTCCTGGACAAGTGTAACATTATCCATCGCGACATTAAGCCTGAGGCATGTTCCGTCGTTTCGTGTACCATCATCTCTCTCATCATCCCCTTGCAGAACGTCTTGGTTGCTCGCGTGTGTCCACTTAGTGTCAAGCTCGCCGACTTCGGGGTTGCCAAGCTCGTTGATTCGGGGAATATAGTGACGGTATTTCTCAGCCCCAAATCATAGATGTGCTCTTATAATCACTAGACCGTAATAGGAACACGAATTTACGCAGCACCAGAGATCTACAACCGCGAGTCAGACCATGGCTATGACAACAAGGTTGACCAGTGGTCTCTGGGCGTCACACTGTTCATAATGTAAGCTATTGGATCTATATATATCCTTAGGGACTCACCGTGTTGCAGGCTTGCCGGTGACGACCCATTCAACCCGAGTCATATGTTATGGGACGATGATCGCGAAGCATACGATGATTTTCGTGTTCCAGATTGGGACCTCGTGTCGCATGCAAGTGAAGATGGTGAGAGTCATTCATCATGCGTACGCGCCGCTGAACTAATTCATCAATGGCTTCACAGCTTGTGATCTCATACGCCTTCTGCTACAAAAGCGTTCCACCGAGCGTCCAGATGTATATCAAGTCACTCGTCACCCTTGGCTCAGTACAGCTTGGACGCAGAGAGAGACAACTGTGACGCCTATATCATACAAAGAAGTTCGTTGTAAGGATAACCGTTAGTTTTACCATGCTGTAGCCGATTTCTTCAAAGATACAATGCGGCAATACCGACACATTTACCCCTTTGAACGAGCCAAGGTTGACTGATGATCTCAGCCGGGCCAACGTTTGCTGAAGTTGAGCCCACGATATGCTTAGACTTCAAGCTTCAAGTTTCAAGGCCGACCCCAGGACGCTTAAATCAAACTATGGTGTAGAGCATGATTTCCAAATTGAAGACTGTCAACTCTATCCTAGGTTTCGAGGACATCGCGAATCCCTTCAGCAAGTACGTTACGAACAGGGCTTCTAGTGATACGCCGGCGACAAAGGGGGCAAAGGCACTTTACTCGGCCGGTCCGTAAAAGTCGGCAAACATCATCGGATGGAAGGTGACGAGGGAGAGGGAGGTTTTGAGTGCGAAAGTACTCTTTTACTTGTACTTTGGTCAACTCGTGGATGCAAGGGAAACAGAATGTGTGACCACATTCGAGACTGTACACGAAACAATGAACGGAGGTCAGCGGAGCGTTGAAAGAGACTCACATGCAAGGCTGCCTCATTGCCTCCAAGCAAAGCGCGCAGGTGACGCTCTGAGCAAGTAGTTCACGAATCTAGACTCCGTCAACGACGAGCTCGACATTTAGATACGCGACTTACAGCAGCGTCGGGTCGTGCCTCTGGAGTTGCAGCTTTGTTGTCTTGGACTGCCTTCGTGGCTCTTGATCTGGAACGTGTGGGGTATACCTCTCGGGCAGAGGCATTGGGTTTACGACGAGAGGACGGTGGTTTGTGAGGAGCAGCATCACCTTGGGCTGGGCGCGACGGAGGGGATGACATGAGGAGAGGTCAAGGGATTCATCATGCTGACCATGGCGCTTTTGAGGGAGGAGAACAAAGAGGCACGGATAAAGCACGGTTGCTTCGACTAGTACGGTGCTTGTCAGACTGACCCTGGCGTTCCCTTGACGCTTGTGGTTGTCTTTCAGATAGCTTAACCAACTTACTGGGACCTGGATGCTCCTCGAGGAGGCGAAGTGCACGTGATCGGTTCGTGAACCTTGTCTCTTGACGCGCGGGCTATCCACCTCTCCTCACTTTACCGGTTACACCAGCATCTGACTTTACCAGCCACGCTTTCATTTGTGTTCTGTTTTTCACTCCTGGCAACTTCATGACGCCTTGTCCATTAGGTCCTCCTCCCATCTCCTCGGCCGTAGGCTGCCAACGAAAATCAAGTCACGCTTTCGAGGTCTATGCCCAATCTATGCCACTGATCGGTCCAAGCCATAGAATGGACTCAGCTAGTTACCTCCAACGGGTGCGCTATCAATCTCTTCCATTGTTCACGCATTGACATCCTAGCAGACATGTCTCGAGCGAGCGCTTTGACACTCCAGGTGTATTCCCGCTGGAGCACTATATAGCGCGCATTGTCGCGTTTCTCGTCTCAAAGTCAGAAAAGCGAATCAACCGTAAGTCACCGTTCAAGTCATAGAAGCCTTCATTAAAGCTATCTAGGCTAGCATCGCATGAATGCCCTCTATCTTCCAGCTCTTGAACCCGAACGCAGCAGAACTCGACGATGCCGACGACGCGAGAACTGAGACGACTGAAGTTTGGGGTCACATGCAAGAAGCGCCCGAGTCCACCGACCGGTTTGATCACCGAGACGACCTTTGGGGCGTCCTTCAACCCTGCAGCGCGTACTTCAATACTATCGAGCTATACAAGCTTCAACCCGAGGTTTTCGTCGGTCAGAATTTTGAGCAGAAAAAGGTTGTGCTCCCTGGTCTCCGAGTTAGTGAGTGCTAATTTTCCGTTATGCAAAATCTATGACTGACGAAATTACCGGTATAAAGGTAATAATCACTGCACGATCACTTGGGATGGCCGGACTGATGAGAAGTCGACTGTCATGGTGACTGATACCTCCACCAACGGTACTTGGGTATGTATGCTCTCTATAACATGGTCACAGCGCTAATAGTTTGCTTTAGATTAACGGAGAAAAAATCAAGAATGGGGGAAGTCGGCCTCTGCGTGACGGGAACGAAATCGCCTTTGGACAGCTCATATCGACTGAGCCGCTGGAAGATTATCGTACGTAGTCATCGGCCCCGTATCCTCGACTCGCCTGATACTTATGTTTTGAAGGCTACATTTATAGACACCTCGCCTGCGTTCCTCCCGCGCGCAGCCTCGAGGCCTCCTACAAACTCACATGTCCACTTGGCCATGGGGCATTCGCCACTGTGATGAAGGCGTTTTCACGCGCAACACGCCAATGTTACGCCGTCAAAATCATCGAAGCACGAAAACTCAAGCGTCTACGAACGATGTACAGGAACAGTCGTAACCGCTCCCATGATTTCGAGAAATTCAAGCAAGAACAGTTCTCAAAGGAGGTCAATATTCTCTCAAGCCTTCGACACGATAATATATGCCAGCTCAAGGAGGTTTTTTACCAAGAAGCGGACATCTGTTAGTGTTTAAATCCTTGCTCAATTTACGAATTAACTATAGCGTCGAACAGGTTTGGTCCTCGAGTTCGTGGACGGAGGGACGCTGTCGGACTATATCCGCACACAAGGACCTCTCAGTGAGCATTTTGTTAACACATTATCGCAAGGTGTTGACTCAATCATAGAAGAAAGTACGGCACGTCACATAACGTTCCAAATTATCGACGCCGTTAGCGTGCGTTACACATTTCCCCCCCTCGCCTGCCTGCTGACATTAATCGTAGTATGTTCACTCCCAAGGTATTGTTCACCGTGACCTGAAGCCCGACAACGTGCTTCTTACATCCGCTGAGCCTCCCATTGTTAAAGTCGCTGATTTTGGTGTCGCGAGGGCTATAGATGATAAAACTCCCTTAACGGTTTGTCCACCGGAGTTCCTTCATTTATTTCCTCCATTGACTCTTGATTTTTCTTCTGCCGTAGACGTTTTGCGGTACACCTATGTATGTTGCCCCTGAAGTCGCAAAACAGAAGGACCGGACAGGGTATAACAACCTCGTCGACTCGTGGAGCGTTGGGGTCATGCTTTTCTACATGTTGACGGGTCGGGCACCATTTTTCGTGGATCGATTTGCGACGGACGACTTGGCCCGTGTTGCAAAGCGTAAAGTGGATTGGAAAATCCTCCAGGGCGCTCGGCCCAGCAAGGAAGGTTTGTGCATATCGTGTTTCCGCAATCGATCCATCGTCTAACTGTTTACTCCTTAGCTGAACATTTGATCTGTAGTTTACTTCAGTATCATCCAGCCCAGCGAATGGCGCTGTCGGATGCAAAATCTCATCCTTGGTTCGCTAAACACGAGCCCACACGGACTTAGCGAGTGGATCCCGACGGCGTAACGGTGCAAGATATAACTCCTTCGACAGGTTCAGGCCTTGCTCCGCGTCTTTCTTCCCTCACAGTAGCATCAGTCCTACGAGCTCCGCACGTCAGTACGCTTCTATAGTACCATCTGCCGCGCTCGTTATGTTAGATTGTGCGCTCGAGCTTGTGTCCCAACGTATGCCGCTTGATATATGGCTATGTTTAATATGGTACATGAACACGACCAATAGAAAGCTGTGTTTGACTTACGACTGTTTGTCTGAAATTAGGTAGTTACGCCTGCCTCGTTTTCTCGTGGTACTTGACCTGGACAACGTCCGGTGTCCCCTACCAAGGCAACGCCATTTAACCAAGGGACGTCCCTTACTAGGCCTTACTGGAGCAACAATGACCTACTGAAAACCAAAGCGCCATCCCTAGCCGAAGCAACTCCCGGGGTTACCGAAGCAGTCTCGCTTCCCGGAGCAACGGTACCTACCGATCGAATCCGAAGCATTGTCCTCTATTCTACCAAAGCAACGTCCCTGACCAAAGCAACGTTCCTGACCAAAGCAACGTCGAAGCCATGCTCCCCAAACAGGCAATAATGGTAAGCGGGCTGATTTCCCGTCAATGCCACTCTGACAACTCCTTACAGGACAAACAATGGTCGCCAGTTTAAAAAGGATGCTGTCTCAATGCCACTCCTTCGAGTTTTCGCGGAGAACGCTGTAAAGGCGTCACTTTCCACGGGGCTATGTCCACTGGACCACTGCCCTCGACGCCATCCGAGCTCGCCAGCACTGTGACGGACACTCAGGCCCCAACCTCTGCACGCCGTCATTCGTCAGTTGATACTCAGTCGGTAACTTCCTCTGCAGAGAACGACGCACCCTTGAAGCGTGAGCCGTCGCCCATGGACCCCAAGCTAGAGAACCCTCCGAAGTTCTGGAGAGGCGATGTGGTACGTCTTCGTTATTGGTATACCTATCTCGTTCTATGCCTGACAACCGCTTCCCCAGATTGCGGGTATGGTTCGTGTTCCGGGCAGCTCAACTGTTCTTGAATGTGGCAACCGCTTCATTGGCAAGATTCTAACACCCCCCACGACTAATGTCGAATCTGCGGTCCAGAATCGACGGATCATCCCACTTCGTCCTTCCTCCAGCAATGTTCAACGTGCCCAGAATCCTTTCCGTCCTCGTTCTGGAAGCCCAAGTCTCCCCCAAGCTGCAGGTCTAGCTGTTGGGGATTCGACAAAGTCTCCTTCAGCTCAGCCCCTTCCAACACCCTTAGGTGGCAGCTCGGTGGCGAAGGTGACTATTATATTAAAAGTGTATGCGTTCAGCTTCTCATTAAAATAAGGATGCCGCCCTTCCGCAAATCAACAAGCCCTTGGAATACCGTAACGATATCGAAAGGGATGTCGAGGTGAGCACCACCCTCCGAACGTAGCACCCACGACTGACGTTATACGTGGCAGATGAACACGCAAGAGGATGGAATCGCACAAATGGAGGCCACGCCCGAGCGTGCACCATCGTCGGCATCAGCTCGCGAGTCCGCGCAGATGCATAGACAACAGGAGGGGTTCTGTGAACAAGACATGGGCTCCCAGAATCAAGTCCGCCCCCCCCAGCACTCTGATGCCGAACAGAACATCCGTCAGCAGAGTTCTGAAAACCGTAGCTGGCAACAGCAGGTCTCTGAAAACCCTATGCACGCTCGACAAACTCAGGAGCAAGTTTTCCAGCAGCAAGCTGACGACGACCAGTTCCATCAGCAAGAAGCACACGCTCAACGACTTCGCGAACAGCAAGCTCACGGCGACCAGCGCCGTCAGCAAGAAGCACACGCCCGACAGCTTCGTGAACAGCAAGCTCATGATGACCAGCGCCGTCAGCAAGAAGCACACGCCCAACAGCTTCGCGAACAGCAAGCTCACGACGACCAGCGCCGTCAGCAAGAAGCACACGCCCAACAGCTTCGCGAACAGCAAGCTCACGACGACCAGCGCCGTCAGCAAGAAGCACACGCCCGACAGCTTCGTGAACAGCAAGTTTATGACGACCGGCTCCGTCAGCAGCAGGTGCACGACAATCGGCTGCGCGAGCAGCAGGCTCACATGAACGATCAGCAACATATTCACGACGACCAGCCCCGCCATCAGCAGGCCGACGCTCAACAACCTCACCAACATCAGATGCACGACAGCTGGTCGCGCGAGCAGCCAGCTCATCAGGATCTTATTTTTAACCAGGAAGAACGGGTGCGAGTTTGCCAACCGCAACTTCTTGACAACCAGATCCACCAGCAGCCATTCCGGCCCCAGCAGCTTCACCACTCCCAGATGCGCGGTAGTTATTCACGCGAGCACCAGGCCTATAATGAACTAGCTGGCGCCCAACCAATGTATGAGCAAGCTCGACAGCAGGAGGTTTATGACAACCAGCACCATCAGCAGCATGCCTACGTTCAGCAGCTTCACGAGCAGAAAATTCTCAGTGACCGCGTGCACATGCAGCAAATCCACCACGGGCAAGCCCGTCAGCCGCAAGCTCATGCTCAATACCTTCGCCCGCCCCAGATGCACGACAGCGGACTCCGCCAGCAGCAGGCTTACGAGGATCCGAGGCGCACACAGCAAACTTTACCTACGGCACCCGTGGTCCCTGTCCCATCACAAATGCAGTGGAATCCCTCTGTGCTCAGCGCTAGCGCGCATACGCTTCAAGTGCCTCCCCCGAACCCTGCGGAGGCGGCTCGTGGAAACAGCTTTCCGCATGCGAACCACCATTTACCATTGCATAATCAGTGGCAAGCATCGCCGAGGGGCCCTGCCTCCTCATCGGCTCATCAACTTCATGACAATCGCCAGTATGTTCCAAGTAACCTTCGCTACGAAGCTTCTGCGGGCGGTACGTTCTCTTGCCTACGTCTTGGGCTTTCACAATTTACTCATGCATTCAATAGACCCCGACATTCAAAGCCAGGCAATGGACACCTCTCAGTCACCCCACATGGCGGTCGATAATCATAACATTAGCTCAGCACGCGCTCTGCCTATGAGCACATCCGCAGCGAAATCAAGTACGCACTCCTCTTCTCCATAGGATATCGCGCTGACCCATTGCCTCCATTAGATACGCTTTCTTCGACTAGACGTCCATCGCGGCAAAAGTCAAAGCGCTCCGTAGGCGCCACTTCGGGCCGCTTAAGCACTAATCCCTTCCCGGAACCACCTGCACGTGCGAACCCCGTCTGGCCAGGAACTCAGGGCGATGGTAGCTCAAGCATGCATGGGTCCTCTCCGCAAAGCAAGATGCCCGAAGTTTTCAATGCTGCTTTAATGGCTAGTATGAACGGATTCACGCAACGCATGGAAGCCTCCCAGGAAGCCATCAAGGAGGACCTGAAGCAAGGGATGGAACGCATGGCACAGGTAGCAGAAACAGCAGCAATGAAAGCGGTCAAAACACACCTCGATGTTGCGGGGCTAGAAGGACCCTCGCCCAGCACGTCACGAAGGAACCGACGTCCTGCCAAAAACTCTCGGTTGGCCAAGTTCATGACAATAAATCCCGAGGTTGCTTTTCAGCCGAAGACTGCTAGAGGTTTTCGAGACCACGGAAATTGGCTCCATCTACTGGTGCGCTTGAAGCTTTGTCTCCGTTTCATTGCCTCTGACGTTAATTCGCAGGAGGATATCAGAGGCGCCTTCAAGCAGCTCCTCAAAATCAAGTCATACGAGCCCGAAGACCTTCAACGACTGCCTCCTCCGTTGACTGAGGATGAGGCTGCCCTGTTTAAAGACAACAGCACCGTCATCCCCGTCGACGTGGCAAACTTCCGGGTCGATTTTACCCGACCTTGGAGGACGGACCCCTTCAATGCCACCGCTCGTGAAGTTTTTGTCAACCACTTCATGCATCGAGTGACGAGCGGCGCCGTCAAGTATCACAAAGCGTATGCAGAGAGTGCCTACGTCACCAAGGACAAGGTCGAGCACGGCATTGATCAACACGTCTCCCAGTACGTCAAACCACGCTACCGCGACTGGCTCAAGGGCGAGGCCGCCATGGACCCGAACGAAAGAAAAAGACGCAACGCTATGAACGGACGGAAGAGTACCGTAAGTCTATTTGTCCATTCCTTTGAGTGATAATACTAATCACATAATTTCTAGTTAATGGACAATCGCTTCGTTGTTTGCAGGGATACGAAATCCATGAATCGCCACGTCGATGGTTTATTCAGCGTAATGGAGCAAGGGGCTATGAGTGGGGACGAGACTGATCCTGACAGTCCTACTAACGCGCCCAAGCAGTATCTTATAGTGACCCCGGAATGGCGCAGCCAGGAGTTTACGATTTTTCTGCGCTGGTTGGATTTCCGGTATCGGGAGGCGTGGCGAAACCCCCGTGGTGGCCAACGAGCAACACCTGGGAATCCTCCACGCATTCGTAAGGAGAGCGACCGTACTGTTTTGGGGGTCGTCCCTAGAGGGCTTCCGCGCAATTGCTATAGCGAGACGTGGTTAGGAACCCTCAGAAGCTGGCAAATAGATCAGCTTCTTATGGTTGACGAGACTTATGACTTTACCATAAATGAGTAGCTAAACAATACCTTATTAATAAATAGCAACTTACTGATAATACACATGATTTATGATATTTACGCCTTGTCAATAGTTTATTGAGCCTCCGAGTCCTTGGTTTACGTGCTCGAGGGGTTCGAGCGACAGATAGAAATGTTGTTACCGGCACGCTGAAGTCCAAAAAGATTCAGATGGTTTCGGGCTACTCCGGAGCTCGGAAATCATCCCGAAACTAGCCGGTAGCTAACTGGGAGCTCACTTCCACTAGGCTCTTCCAGTGCGAGCGCCGAGTGCTCCTCCCGCGTCCATGAGCTCCATTGGTAGCTTGGAGCATCCCGCAGAACCACGGCTGCAACCCACGGTCAACCACATTCAAGATGATGTGTTCCAGAGCTTCCTATGATTACCTTTCAAATTGCACGCCCTTGGTCGGCAATCTACCAGCTCTTCAATGCTATGTATCGCTCCAGCCGCCATAGTGTAGTTCCTTCCCCGTCACGCTTCCTCCCTGAAATGACTCTCTTCAAGTTGCCCGCGCCGTCTCTTCCATCCACTGTCACCTCACGTCGACCACCAATGTCGCCACAGACGATGCTGCCCTCGCGGATGAGTCACATCACCTTTCCAGAGCAAAAACAGGCAACGACCCGTTGGTCAATGTTTCTCGTGAGCATGTTCGTCCGAGTATTCGCTAATGGCCTCTATCAGCATGCTTACCTACAAGCCAGGAGGAGCTTTGGGTGCCATTGTCCCCACCTGCACCAACGCTTCCCCGCCCACGACATGTCGTTTGCTGGTCAGGACAATGCCACCACCGGTCACTTGGAGAGGATTCACTCAACGTTCAGTCCGGTTCCTGCTGATCGATTTCTGTCGGTGGCCAAGTCATAAAACCATCGCAAACACTTACTTATATTCTCTAGGCTGGTTCCCGTCGCGTTCATTATATGATCTCAACAACAATCATTCTCGAATACTGACATCCCCCTTGTCATGAGTATGTCGCGATCCCCATGCTTCTCTCCTGTCCGTCGTCTCACCGGTAATACCCAATAACTCGTTAAGCACAAGGCCTCAACCTCGCCATTGACTTCAAGGGGCTTTCTTATTCATTCACCTGATGAACCCGTGTTCTTGCAGCCCTATCGTACTGGTGCTCCCCGGCTCGCTATGGCACCTCAACCACCACGAAGCGCCTTTGTTGTAGTAAAGCGACTGTCCCCGAGACTGCTAGCAATATTGACGCAGAGTTAGAGCACCGCATAAGTACCAGATACGTCACGTTCCGATGGTTTTCCTGTTTCTTCGTTGGATATACGTAGGGTAGGATAACGTTTTACAATACGAAAAGGTTTTGGATATGATATTCGCCCAAATGCTAATTGCGGCGCAAAACAGCGCTTGAACACATGGTGCAGGACATGACCCCCGAGGATGTCCGGTCAGCGGATGGGTCAAAACCCCGAGGATGTCAGGGCAGCGGTGACCGGCGGTTGACCGACCATGTCCTGGCGGCCGCCTCACTGTAGGGGTTGGGTGACTGGCAGGAGATGCTCCGGCCCATACCCCCAGGTGTGTGTCAGGGCGGCCGCCTGCCTTGTGCATTTAGAATGTCAATAATAGTCCAGTGTTTTTAGCTATAATGCTCCGGTTATTGCAGCTACAGTGCTCCGGTTATTGGAGGTATAATGGTCCGAGTATTGCAGGTACAAATACAATGCTCCGGCCATTGCAGGCATAATGCCCTGGTTATTTTAGCCACATGCTCCAGCCATTTCA